TCTCCTGATGACAGGGCTAACGCTTAAGTGGTTGTGCCACTGGGGAGCCCCCAAACTCTGTGTTTTAATCATTACTGAATTCTGTGTTTGAAACGTTGCTAATGTTTGAATCATGATAAAAATCTTTGGTTTAATCATTACTCAAGTTTGCCTTTGAATTGCTACTGAACTCTGTTTTTGAATCATTACTAACTGTCTTTGAATCGTTACTGAAATCTGTGTTTGAATCATTACACAACTCTGTTTTAAACGTTACTGAACTCTGTTTGAATTAATACTGAACTGTGTCTTTGCACCATTACTGAACTCTGTTTGAACCATTATAAAAATCTGTTTTAATCATTGCTGAATTCTGTTTGAATAGTTACTGAACGCTGTGTTTAAATATTACTGAACTGTGTTTGAATCATTCCTGTACTCTGTCTTTGAATCAATACTGAACACTGTCTTTGAATCATTTTAAAAATCTGTCTCTGAAACATTACTAAACTCTGTTTTAAACATTACTTAACTATATTTTTGAATCGTTACTAAAGTGTGTTTGAATCATTACTGAACTCTGTGTTTGAATACCTACTGAAATCTCTCTTTGCATTATTATAAAAATCTTGGGTTTAATCATTACTAAACTCTGTTATAAACATTACTGAACTTTGTCTTTGAATCGTTACTAAACTGTGTGTGAATCATTTCTGAACTCTGTCTTTGAATTATTACTAAACTCTGTTTTAAACGTTCCTGAACTCCACATATGAATTGTAACTAAAATGTGTTTGAATCACTACTGAACTGTCTTTGCACCATTTTTGAATTCGTTGTTTGAATTATTATAAAAATCTGTGTTTGAATCATTACTGAACTCTGTGTTTGAAGCATTACTGTACTCTATCTTTGAATCATTATAAAAAATGAAAAATCATTATTTTCATCATTGCCCTGCGATGGACTGGCGACCTGTCCAGGGTGTATCCTGCCCTCCGCCCAATGACAGCTGGGATAGGCTCCAGCACCCCACTGAGACACAGAAGGATAAGCGGTTTAGATGATGTATGCATGTATTTTCATCATTAATGAAGTCTGTCATTGAATCATTACTGAACTCTGAATCATTACTAAACTCTGTTCTAATTGTTACTCAACTTTGTTTGAATCAATACTGAACTGTGTCTTTGCACCATTACTGAACTCTGTTTGAACCATTATAAAAATCTGTGGTTTAATCATTGCTGAATTCTGTGTTTGAATCTTTACTGAAAGCTGTCTTTGAATCGTTACTGAATTCTGTCTTTGAATTATTACTAAACTCTGGTGTTTGAATCGATACTAATCTGTGAACTCTGTGTTTGAATTGGTGTTGAACTCTGTCTTTGAACTGTTACTGACCTCTGTGTTTGAACTAGAGCTGGGCGATATGGCCAAAAATGTTATCACGATAAACAAAATTCATATTGTTTGATATCAATACATATCACGATAAATGTCAAATCAAGTTTGAAGGCTGATTTTTGCTCCTTGTGGTTAGTTGCTGGTTTTTAACTATCCTTTATGGCCAAACACTCACCAAACAGTGGAACATTTCACCAATCTGTCATGGGAGAGTGGGAGAAAGTGTCTGGTGAGCTGTTTTTACCAGCTGGAAAAGCACGACCGCAGTTTTTGTAATAATAATAATTTAAGAAAGAAAACAGATTATTTTTAGCTGTCTGGTGTCGAGCGCTCGGCTACCCCACTACAAATGCTAAACATGCGGCCAACAACAGAGCTAAACTGTTTAGTTTCTCAACAACGTCAACTTAGCACAAACAGCAAACGTTAGGCTCGGTAAGTCGGTGATGGATCACACCGCCTCACTGTCATCACTCCTACCACATCCATATCAAAGTATATCACAGTATTCAGACACCAGCTAGACGACTGGGGTTCTCTATTCTATCATAGTAGTTTGAGTGGTGAACCGCAATATCAACACCAGACAAACAGAGTCCTCTTTTTAGGTACGTTTAAACTGAAATCAGTGATTTTGTGTGTGATCTACAGTATCATCAATTCTCTGTGCTGTGTGAGTGACAGTACTAAAATTAAGGTGGCACAGAATTTAAGGTGGAACTTCAATTAACGTAGCACTAAATTCAGGGTGGTACCAAATTTAAGGTGGAACTCTTTTTAAGGTGGCATAGAATTTAACTTCATTCACAGTAGCACCTAGCAACGAATTACCATCCACCACAGATACTGCAGCTTCTGCTTCACAACATTTTGGCAACATGTTAACAGCTATCAGCAGTCTTCAACCATTTTAACGTTTTAATGTTATTAACTGGCTTTTTCAAGCCAACTCTAGTTATTACTATTATTATTATTATTATTATTATTCTACGCTCGAAATATAAAATGCTACTCCTCCTACAGTTTTCGAGCTAGAAAATGAAACTTTGCAGGATCGTAGAGCCTGTACCCGCGGGGTGTGCTTGTGCTTTTCTAAGCGATCCGACGTACGGTTTTCGGAAAATTATCGTTCAAAGTCGATATTTTTTCCCATAGGGAATGAATGGGCGGAATGTTGGCAGCATGCCACACATGATGTCACAATGGCCACCTCTCTCACACACACATCCAAACTCACGCACGGAGCCCAATGTCTCACCCACTCCCAGCCTAATGCTCAGCAGTGTCAGCACACATAATGATTTCTTAAGGTGGAACTGCTTTTAAGGTGGATTTCCCCTAGGTAGCACTGAATTTTAAGGTGGAACTTCTTTCAAGGTAGCACTGAGTTTACACTGACACTGAAATTAAGGTGGAACTGCATTTATGTTAGCACTGAATTTAAGGTGGAACTTCAATTAACAAAGCACTAAATTTAAGGAGGCACAGAATTTAAGGTGCAACGTCTGTCAAGGTGGCACAGAATTTAATGTGGACCTTTATTTAAGGTGGAGCTGCATTAAAGTTAGCACTAAATTTAAGGTGGCAGTGAATTTAACACCACATTTAAGGTGGAACTGCTTTTAAGGTAGCACTAAATTTATGGTGGAACTTCAATAAACATAGCACTAAAATTAAGGTGGCATGGAATTTCAGGTGGAACTCTCTTTAATGTAGCACTAAATTTAAGGTTGCGCAGACTTCAAGGTGGAACTTCATTGACAGTAGCACCTAGCAACAAATTACCGTCCACCACAGATACTGCAGCTTCTGCTTAGCAACATTTGGCAACATGTTAACAGCTATCAGCGGTCTTCAACCATTTTAACGTTTTAACGTCATTAACTGGCTTTTTCAAGCCAACTTAAAGTTCGTTCACGAACTTTCCCTTTCTAGCTAAAAATGTTTTCTGTTTATATCACATTATTTCTACATTTCTCCTGATCTGATCTCCACAACACACAAACACTGAAGGGTAACTGACAGTCTGTCATCCTGTTTAAAATACTAACTCTAAACTATCAGGAGATCTGCTTCCTCATCACTGCACAGCAGAGGAGCTCAGTCCTGGTCCTGCAGATCTAAAACCCTGGAGAGCTCAGATCCAGAACACCTGACTGTAATATTCAGATGATCCTGAAGGTCGTCTCCTGGGTCAGGTGTGTGTTTAGAGTTGAAGCTAAACTCTGCAGGGTGGTAGAACATCAGGACTGAGACTGGCCTCCCCAGCTGTGTGTGATGTTACGCTTATATGCTGTATCTGCAGTTTGTGTTTACAGGAAGTCATTAAGGATGATATAAACAACAGCTTTGTTCAACATGAAGATCATAGTGATGAATTAAACCGTCAGCAGTGAAGGGCCCACTGACAGTGTTACTGCTGAAGGGACTAAGGTGACGGCAGACTGTAAGAATGGGGCCAAAACTCACACACTGCTGATGATGATCAGACTCAAAGCTAAATCATGAGTGTGTTTAAGTCTTTGTAGGTGCTGTTTGTTGTGAAGGAAGCAGTCGCTGACTGAGGGAAAGTGGATGTTGAAAAGTGGATGTTGTCACTTCTAGGAATCAGCTAAAACGTATATATAAAGAGTCTCTCAGGCGTGAGATATAAAATACTCCTCTTAGATTTTGTGAGGGTTTGGATTCAAGTATACCTTTCAGTGTAAATAACTGAGCATGAGTTTAAATATACACATATATATGAGCAGTGAAGACGTCTCACTCTCTGATGAGACACTGAGAGTTTATAACACTCAGTGCGTGTACGTGTGTGTGTGTGTATGTGTGTGTGTGTGTGTGTGTGTGTGAGAGTGTGTGTGGATGTGTGTGTGAGTGTGTGTGTATGTGTGTGTATGTGTGTGTGAGTGTGGATGGAATCGATAGTACAGACAGTTACTGGTGTTGTTTCAAATTTTCACAATCGATACATATAATAATAGTAATAATAATAATAATAATAATAATATATTATTATTATTTCTGAATTTGTGTGACCATTTCTATGTAAAGCCATTAAACGTCTGGCTCCAATCACACATGAAATTCCCCACTTAATATCAGAAACATTATTTATTTATTTTATTTTCCACTATTTTCCTTCATCAACATTCATATAAACTCAGAAGACTCGTGTAGGTTCACTGGTGGTTCTGGATAGTAAATAAAATGTCTATATTTGTGTTGTAGTCATGGCGACCCCTGGTTCCTATCACCACCACTGTAAAGAGACCTGAACCATTTCACACCAAACCACTCTGAATCTCTCTGATTACACCTCACACACTGAATTATGGGAGAATTTTGAAAAATGGTGGAATTTCCCTTTAACTATAAACCGACCTTTGATCTTTCATATCATACTATAACACAGATTATACACACTGGCCACTTTATTAGAAACACTGTGAGCTACAGTCTCTAACTGAACACTCAGAAGGCGGAGCTACAAGGTTTATATTCTGAATACTAAATAACTGAACACTGATTTGTAGATTTGTAACTGATATGAGGTCAATTATTAATCAGTTATTAAATATTAACATATGTTGTATTAATGTAGATAAAACACTCACCGAGCTTTCCTGCAGACAGTCACAGCTGGGATCAGTCTCCTATAACCCTCCTCTGATGTGTTGTACTTCTTCAGGTCCAGCTCATCCAGAACCTCCACTGAGCTCAGGATCATGCAGGCTAGTGCTGAACACTGTCCAGGAGAGAGTTTCTCCTCTGAGTGTCTCTCTGAGTTTAGATTCTCCTGAATCTTTCTGGAGACAGACTGGTCATTCACTTCAGACAGACAGAGGAACAGATTGATGGATCTCTCAGTGGAGATTTGATTTCCTCTGATTAAACTCTTGATGTGCTCTCTGGTTCTCTCTGAGCTGCTCTGTGTTGGGGTCAGTAGACCCTGTAGGCGTCTCTGATTGGACTCCAGTGAGATGCCCAGCAGGAAACGGAGGAAAAGATCCAGGTGTCCATTCTGACTCTCTACAGATGTATCCACTGTTCCCTCCAGCAGCTCATCCAGTGGAATATTCTTAGACCACTTACTGTCCCATGGGTTAAATATCTCCAGTTCCTTCATGTTTTTGATCTCATAGCAGTGAAACACATAAACAGCAGCCAGAAACTCCTGAAAGCTCAGATGAACAAAGCAGTAGACCTTCCTCTGGTGAAGCACACATTCCTCCCTAAAGATCTCAGTGAAAATCTCAGAATACACTGAGGTCTCAGTGACATCAATGCTGCTCTCTCTCAGGTCCTCTTCATAGAACATCACATTGCCCTTCATCAGCTGTTTGAAAGCCAGTTCAGCCAGTTTCAGTATCATGGTTCTGTTGGACTCCAGCAGGTTCTTTGGGTCTCTCTCGTCTTTCTCCTCATACTTCTCGTTCTTCATGTTGGTCTGAGTGAGCAGGAAGTGTGAGTACATTTCAGTCAGAGTTTTAGGGATTTCTGTATGAGGCTGTTTCATGATTCTCTGAAGAACAGTGGCTGAGATCCAGCAGAAGACTGGAATGTGGCACATGATGTGGAGGCTCCTCACTGTCTTAATGTGGGAGATGATTCTCTGGCTTGGTCTTCATCACTGATCCTCTTCCTGAAGTACTCCTCCTTCTGTGGGTCACTGAATCCCTGAATCTCTGTCACACGGTTGATGTATTTAGGAGGGATCTGATTGGCTGCTGCTGGTCGGGAGGTGATCCAGATCAGAGCAGAGGGAAGCAGCTCTCCTTTGATGAGGTTAGTCATCACACTCCCACTGATGATTTCGTGGTGATGTCAGATACTTTCTCACACTCTTCAAAGTTCAGTGGAATTCTGCTTTCATCCAGACCATCAAATATAAACACAGCTTTGATCTGATCATAAATCTCTGGGTCCAGATCTTTGAGCTCAGGATGGAAGTCACACAGAAGTCCATGAAGACTGTATTGATCATCTTTAATCAGGTTCAGCTCCCGGAACGGAAGCACAAACATGATCTCTACATCCTGATTGGCTTTTCCTTCAGCCCAGTCCAGAATGAACTTCTGCACAGAGACAGTTTTTCCAATTCCAGCGATGCCTTTAGTCAGAACAGCTCTGAGCTCTGGCTCTTCTGGTCTGTGATCTTCTCTTTCTCTGTGTCTGAGTCTGTCAGCCTCCACAGCTCTAATGGTCTCTTCTCGTGTTTCTCCTTCAGGACCTTGTAGAGGTTTAAAGATGTCTAAGCAGTTGATTGGAGAGTCTTGTAAGTGTCTCCTGGGTGTTTTCTCCATCTGTAGAACCTCATGTTCTTCATTCACTCCTTCACTCTCTCCCTCTATGATGTAGAGCTGAGTGTAAATCCTGTTCAGGAGGGTTTTATTCTCTTCTGTTCTGATTCCCTCAAATAAGCTCTCGTACTTGTTCTTCATGCTGGTTTTGTGTCTCTGTAAGACTCTGTGTAGATCATCATCCACTGGTTGGTAAGAATCCTGATTCAGGTCTCCAGTTCCCTCCAACAGAGTGTTTATCTGCAGTGCAGGTTCTGTGGAGCTCAGCCTGATGGGGTCAAACACAGTAACACAAACATCAACACAAGTAATCATAACAACAGCTCACAATGAAGATCACTGATGGAAATACTCTGTCAGGTGTAATATTTTCATGTAATTAATATTATTAAATTATACTTCAGTGTAATTTGTACCTGATTGAATTCTATAAGTTTGAGTCGAGTTCTTACAATGAACTTTATGTCTTGCTTAAATCAACAAACTGTGTTCCAGATGCTGAAGGCTGAGTCAGCACATATCCATTCAGGCTCTGCTGGGTAGCCGAGATAACTTACTCACCAAAATACGATTTTCAGACATTCAAATGCACATATCACATATTTATCTGCATCTCTGTGGAAACTGATTGGATTGTCTGAGCTGAAGTCCACAGTCAGAGGTTTCCCACAGCAGGTCTGGAGTGACTCTCCAGCTGCAGCTCTGTCTGATTGGACACTTACACCTTTCTAATGTGGTCAGTTGTGCAGCAGCACTCTGTCTGTCTCTCTTACTGGTTGAGCTGTTTGTTTTAGAGAAAGACACTCTGGTCATCATACCTGAGTTTTTATATCAGAGCCAACTGGTACTGAACTCTAGAACACAACTGAGCGTGGAGTCCACTTCTCTAACTTATTTACAGTGACACAGCCAGGCTGTAGGGGTGCCATTTCTTTTGAATGTACCTTTTCTCCTGTGTGTGATTCAGCTACAGAGATAGAGAAGAGTGTTTGTACTGATTTGCTTAGATTATTTATCTTTCCTGACCTCCTCTGGTCAGATTTAAGTTCTGTTTACTGTTTCGTTGTTATCTTACGTCTTTCCTGCGCTGAGCTAAAAAAACGTAACGCTGTAAGGAAATGAAAAGAAGAAACAACATGACCCAAAGCTTTTCTTGAAACATGGCTCTTTGTCTCTTCTTCGTTTTTCACGTTGATATTAAGACGAGTAGTTTACAGGCTGAAACATTTACAATGAACTACTTCTAAACTAGAACAGAGCATTAATAGTTTACATTTCATACATCTGTAAACAAATTGTAAACGCATAATGATTGGCTGTCTAACACATCGTCTCTGGATTATATGAATATTTCTCTTACCCGTATATAAACATACTTATATATAAAATTCTACAGATTACTAATTATACCATATGGTCAGTGACTGGACATGCTGGACTGTCCTTCTCCACTGCTGAGGTTTAAAGTCAGTCATAGAACAAGAACTGTTCAGTGTTCTAGATTCTAAGTTCAGCCAGGACCACTTCAAAGAAAATATCTTGTTTGCATTTACAGTAAGTTATATTTGGCAGTATGGCTCAGTTCTGGGGGAGCAGCAAAAAGACCCCCAGAGAAATGAGAACAGCTTAAATCAGTGCCCTGACTAAATAAGCCAATCATATGCAGGTGACCAGCTGATCTATCAGCTGACTGAGATCAGCCAGTAACTGCTGTGCTCAATTTCTTTAACTGTTCATTATTCAGTAAAAGGACAACAACTCACTCTGGGTCAGAGGGAACAGCTCCTCTGCTGAATCCAGGAGGGTCAGGCATGGACTGGTCACTCTTCATAGACACATGGCTGGGTTCTCCTCCTCCTCTGCTGAATCCAGGAGGGTCAGGCATGGACTGGTCACTCTTCATAGACACACGGCTGGGTTCTCCTCCTCCTCTGCTGAATCCAGGAGGGTCAGGCATGGACTGGTCACTCTTCATAGACACACGGCTGGGTTCTCCTCCTCCTCTGCTGAATCCAGGAGGGTCAGGCATGGACTGGTCACTCTTCATAGACACACGGCTGGGTTCTCCTCCTCCTCTGCTGAATCCAGGAGGGTCAGGCATGGACTGGTCACTCTTCATAGACACACGGCTGGGTTCTCCTCCTCCTCTGCTGAATCCAGGAGGGTCAGGCATGGACTGGTCACTCTTCATAGACACATGGCTGGGTTCTCCTCCTCCTCCTCTGCTGAATCCAGGAGAGTCAGATGTGGACCGGTATCTCTTCTCAGACACACAGCTGGGATCTGGAGATCCTGCACACTTTAACCTGACAGCATGATGAGAGTTGAGTAAATACTTTATTTACTAAACCTCATTTAACACAAACACAACTGAGAATCATTTTGTAAATCTTTTTCATACATTTTCATTTTTTCTTTTCATAAAAACTGCTGATATGAAGTTACTCACTTTAGATCAGAGGCTCCTCCTCCACTGCTGGAGTGATGAAGCTCCATCATGGAGCTGTTCCTCTGGATTTCTCTCTGAGATCTATTAAGACACACAAAACACACACAGGATGATGATCACACTGACTGTACACTCATGAGTTTGTTGTCACTGCAGCATCATGCAGTGCTACAAATAACACACAAAGCTAGAGCATTTGAGGAGAACATGTAGGAAGAGTGAAATCAATGGTTAAATGGTGCCGTTGTCTTGAGTTTGCTGCACCCATAACCTGAGAGCTCCTGACCGATTGCTTCATTGTGTGACCTCTGTAGTGCCTCTTTATTTTGTTGTAGTATAAGTATTTAAAAACTATAAAATGCCATTTAAGACCAACATTAAATACAGAAATATGTCATTAAAGATAGGAAATCATATGAATAAATTCAGAAATGAATATAAAATCTAAGTTTTTTATATTATTAATAAAACTCTAATAGAAATATTAATAATAATGCACCTGTCAGTACAGTTATTGATGGTGCACAGCATGACTTTCCCTCCCTGTTTTAAACTGTTTCTGTTGGTTATTCCACACCAGCTCACCTGGGGCCCTGCAGGTCACCTCACTGATTTCTACTAAAAACCAAGCCTGGTTTTGTCAGGCTGTCTGCACTCTCCTCTGAAACTGTAGTGACTGCTGTAAAGCCTGTAGCAGTGTGTGAGGCAGAAATACACAGCAGGAGGATTCAGACTAGAGGCGCCTGAATGTGACTGCTGCGCCATTTAAGGTGGAATGGGAGAATCTGAAAAAGAGGTTTCTCTACTGATGAAACACCCCTCAGATATAAACACGGCTCTTCACCATTGTTTCTCCTCCATCTCTCCTCCTTGACTGTGCATGGAGTTCAGCGTGTAGCCCCTCCCCTTCCCCCTGTCCTGAGCTCGAGTGCCCCCTGATGCTGACTGGCTGGAACAGTGTTGTGTCGTTCGGTCCGAGCCTCTTTGTTTCCTGTTTACAGAGTCAGGGCTGTGCTGCACCAACAGCAGCGCACCCAGAACAGAGAGCTAGTGGACCGTGAGGAGATATTCAGGGAACTGGACAAAGAGTGTCTTTAACTGAAATCACTTACTGCACCTTTAAGTGACCGAGTACAGAGGGAATGAAGTGTTAGACTCAGTATCAGATCATTCTTTAAAATTTCACTGAAATAGCAAATAACGGCCTACTGTCCTCATTTCCTTCTGCAGTGCATCCTGTCCTGCACGTAGGCTGGCTAATGCTGACTGAACATGCTGAACCGGCTGAAAAAGAGCTCCACTCCTCACACATTCATGTTTTAACAAAGTCAGTAAGCAGAAAAGCCTCTTCTAGGCCCAAAAAATCAAGCAAAGTCAGCTGCACCAGCTGCACATAAGTTGAGGTAGTTAGAACATCTTCAAAGCCACAAACATCCTTACATCACCAGTACAACTTTCAGTAGTTCCCAAGCTTGTAAGGGGCACCCACTGGACTCAACACTTCACCCACAGCGACACATCAAAATACGTAAACAAATGAATTAAATAACCAATCAAAACAAAAAGAAACTTCAACCAACACACCCACCCACCTCTGTGTACCAGTGGGTTCAAACAGTCTCAGAAGGGAAAATACAAACTGCAATAAAACAGAGATGAAGCTTTATCATCTTAATCTCAGGAGCTCTGAGGCTTACAGAGTAAAATGCCACTGCAGAGTCTGGTCCTAGTTTGAAATAGCAGGTCTTAAAATGAAAGAAACAGAAAAGAAAAATACATCCTACAAAAAACAAAAGAAAGATACAAAATGACAAACAGTATTACAAAGCAGTAGCCAGTGCTAAGCTATCATGCACCCTGTTAAACAAAATAACTATTAGAATCTCCATTCATTCTACCACCTTAGGCAACTGCCTACAACACTGCATCACAGCTCAGACCTGTACGGTTAACTGCCCTGTGAGGAAACAGCATTCTGACCTAACAGCACCGCCGGGTTCTACTGCCGCTCTGTTAGCCACAGCGCCGCTGGGTTCTACTGCCGCTCTGTTAGCCACAGCGCCGCCGGGTCCTGCTGCCGATCTGTTAGCCACAGCGCCGCCGGGTCCTACTGCCGCTCTGTTAGCCACAGCGCCGCCGGCTCCTGCTGCCGCTCTGTTAGCCACAGCGCCGCCGGGTCCTGCTGCCGCTCTGTTAGCCACAGCGCCGCCGGGTCCTACTGCCGCTCTGTTAGCCACAGCGCCGCTGGGTCCTGCTGCCGCTCTATTGGAACTTTTTAATTTTGAATAGTGAGAAAAAGTAGGTTTTTTTACTTTCTCATGTCAGATTTAATATATTCTCTTTAATCTCAAAATCTGGACTTTCACCATGAAAGGTTTTTTTTAATAAGCCCTAATTACTGCAGTCCACTTCCTCCCTCTGCTGGCTGAACAGTGCTACTGCATACGAACATGTCTTTTACAGTCTGTACTTTAAGATTAAGATTAAAAGACACTTATCAGTCCCACAACGGGGAAATTTCACCTCCATATTTAACCCATCCGTGCAGTGAAACACCAAATACACACTAGTGAACACACACACTAGGGGGCAGTGAGCACACTTGCCCAGAGCGGTGGGCAGCCTAGCCACGGCTCCCGGGGAGCAGCTGGGGGTTAGGTGTTTTGCTCAAGGGCACTTCAGTCACGTACTGTCAGCTCAGGGGATCAAACCAGCGATTGATCAAAATAAAATATAAAAATATATGAATGTAAACTGATTAGTAGTCAATTGATATCACATAAAAAACATTAATAACCAACACAGTTTACAGTTCCTACTTTAAATTCACTCTTACAGTGTTCACAGTTATACATTTTAAAATGAAGACATTTTAGATCTTTAACCTCAAGTTTCCACACGACTAGAACTTAAATCTTAATTCATTAATTACATCCTGCAGTTCATCTGTCTGGAAGCACCTGCAGCAACAGGACAGCAACAGAAAGGAGAAAATCCCATTATTCCACACTCCTACAGTAAAATGCAGGTGAGTTGTGAGTTGGTGGGCAGGTGTTCTTCAGTAATACTGAGGTAATCATATTCAGTTTGATGAACAGTTTGACAGTTAATTACTTTATGGAATTTTATAACGTGTCAGGAATAGAACTGAGCGACTGTTCGGAATTCTATCCCATCCTATAACATTGTCTAGTTTTCTTTGTCAAGTATTCGGTTCACACAAGGAGTCTGGATTTCAGCAGATCTCACAGCATAAACTACAGCAAACAGAACAAACCATAATACTCAGTCTGATCACTGGAGCTGATATTGATCATGTATTGATCAACAGTGTATTTTCTACATAAACTGTAATATCAGATCCACATTTCTCGGTTTCTGTGCTTGTTTCTGTTCAGGCAGGTTCTTTTTGGGGTGTTAGAGCTCAGAAACCCAGTTCTTTTAGATTTCTCAACACCTGAACTCAAAGCTCCAGCAGCGTTTATCTCTCTTAAACGGTTTACCGTAAAATCCAGAGTAGATGAGCTCAAAGCACGAGCAGCGTTTTTCTCTCTTAAACGGTTTACCGTAAAATCCAGAGTAGATGAGCTCAAAGCTCGAGCAGCGTTTATCTCTCTTAAACGGTTTACCGTAAAATCCAGAGTAGATGAGCTCAAAGCTCGAGCAGCGTTTATCTCTCTTAAACGGTTTACCGTAAAATCCAGAGTAGATGAGCTCAAAGCTCGAGCAGCGTTTATCTCTCGTAAACGGTTTACCGTAAAATCCAGAGTAAATGAGCTCAAAGCTCGAGCAGCGTTTATCTCTCTAAACGGTTACCGTAAAAATCCAGAGTAGATGAGCTCAAAGCTCGAGCAGCGTTTATCTCTCTTAAACGGTTTACCGTAAAATCCAGAGTAAATGAGCTCAAAGCACGAGCAGCGTTTATCTCTCTTAAACGGTTTACCGTAAAATCCAGAGTAAATGAGCTCAAAGCTCGAGCAGGTTTATCTCTCTTTAAACGGTTTACCGTAAAATCCAGAGTAGATGAGCTCAAAGCACGAGCAGCGTTTTTCTCTCTTAAACGGTTTACCGTAAAATCCAGAGTAGATGAGCTCCTATATTTTTACTGTAAACACAGTGAGCAGGTTTTTACAGCTACGCCCGACTGATCGACATTTCAGAGAACAGAGGAACTAATGTGGATTTTTCTGAACCACATATAACAAACTACAACCTTACACACACCTCTGTCACTTTCTCTAACTTAACTCTAACTTTCAGACAGACTCCTGTCTGAAACTACCTGAACTCGGCTCCTGTCTGAAACCGCCTGAACTCGGCTCCTGTCTGTCTGTAAATTCAGGATTTCTGAGTTTCTCTACGGCCGTTTTTCACCAGCGCCTCTCGGCGGTTCACTGTCCGCCATTTTACACGCTGATCTAGAAGCTTCTCTACTCTCCATTTTCTACCTCCTACTAGAGCTTCAGTCCTCCACTGAGTTCAGTTAGAAACTGTAACACGGGTTCTTTAATCTGCACTTCAGAGCTGTTTATTATAACTTACCGTGTGGAATAAAGTCTCTGTTACTGTGCGAGTCTCTCTCTGTCTCTCCTTC